TACTGTGAAGAACTTTACTTCTATTATACTATTTTAGATGCGATTTTTTGCATTTTTGATTGCATTTTAATAGAGTACGTCAAGAGAATGTACACTAAGAAAAAATTTTTTGAAAAATTTTCCTCCACGGGGGAAGTGTTATACGTTTATAATAGATACATTTTGAGCCACAACAAGGCGTGGCGGGGTCTGCTAGTATAAAATAAAGATATATACAAATTTACAAAAACAATAATGATGTACTACCATAGTTCACTCTTGTGTTACAATGGAACAGAGACAACTGAATACTCTGAAAAGCGACAACACTACACTAGTTCAAACTACAATCAGTGTTGCCAAATCGTCTCGCTGCACCAGAAGTGACACAAACCGCAACTCACGAAACCTAAGACACAAAGCATACCATTTTCAAACTCACAAATTATTTTCAATATTTTGCATTAAAATCTCGCAACCCCAAGATTTTGCTAAGCGACCCCAAATGGGGTCGCGACCCATAGTTTAAGAAGCCCTGCTTTAAAAGGATGACACTGATAAAAGACATAGTAACATCTGCAACACCTTGCATGTCAATAGAATGTTGAAGAATTAAGGTCATGCCTGTGTGAATATTCCGGAAGATGAAGGGCAAAACTTATTCACCTATTTTCAGAATGATATGAACTGGAGTCAAAGGTCTATATCAGCAGTCTGATAAAAGTCAAGTCACCAAAAAAGGCCATGTAAACATGAGATGAGTCCCTGATGTAAGTCAGGCACTTTTAATTACACATTAAAGGTGAACAATGAGATTAAGTCTGTAAAAGAATGTTTCTGGATACATTGGGTCTAAAGGAGTGGTGTGTTAAGAATTGGTATTGAAAGACCAGCAGGGTATGCACTACAAAGAATATATGAAGATCTCAAAGCAAAATGGATGCAGCAAAGGAAGTTAGAAAAAAATTGCAATCATGTTTCTGAAACAGCTGCCAAAACTGTATTTAGAACCAGTCATAATACCAAAATCTGAGCTGTACAAGATTTATTCTGCCAAATGTAAGGAATGAAATGAAACATCTATAAAAATCTGTAGAAAAGTATTCTTAGACATCTTTAAGTCTCAAAATCTGGATCTATTTCACAAAGTAAGGAAGTTTGCAAAAAGCAACAGCAGAAAAAAGATGAAACTGGAAGTCTAGGAATAAAGAAGCAGTCATTAAGGAGATAATGCAGTTTATACATTGGATCTTCAATCCATCAAACTTTCATCAATGTCAAAAGAATGTGTCTTATGCTATAAAATAAAATTGTGTGTTCATAATTTTGCATTAAATGACATAATAACCAGGAATGTGTCTTGTTTGGAATGAAAGTGAGGATGATTTGGCTGCATCCATGCATTAGTAATAGCAGAAGCTGAAACTATCACAGTATATAAAAACACTGCACACATCTTACACTTTTCCAGCAATTAATTTTAATTAAAACAAATGTTTTCAGCCTGATTGATAAGCCATCAGGTTTTTAGACACACTATTTTTGGAACATACTAATAAAAATAGAATCTCTATTTAAAAACCTGATGAAAGTTTATTAGAAAACTTTCCTTTCTTGTTGGGATCACCAGCTATATTCCAATTAGGAAATTCTTGAGAATTCTTTAATTCTGCATCTGCAAGTGTATAGGAATGTTACCGGAAATTTAACAATCCAAAACTTATGGTTTAATTATGTTCATTTTGACTGATTATGTACATAACTAGATTACATTTTATTTTAAATTAATTTTGTATTTATACCTAGCTTTTAATAATTTTAGTTACTGATGAAGAGCCATAAAATGTAAGTCAGACAGAAATGCATCTAGTTATGTATTTAATCAATCAAAATGAACATAATTAAATAAGTTTTGGATCATTGAATTACTGGTAACATTCCTATTAGGGTTTCTCATTTCCCGGGAAATTTGCCTCCAGCGGGATTACGAGAAAAATAATTTCTTTTCCCGGGATCCCGGGAAATTCCGGGATGAGATAGCAAAATAGAATTTTATATGAATAAAAAAGATCATACAGGAATATCATAAATTTGAATAATTTAATTTATTTTCTAGTAAGTAACTAAAAGTGTAGGGCCAATCTCACCCATACGGACACGTTAGGCTCAATTAATTTATGTTCTCCTACATTATAAGATGAAAGTAAAATAAAGCGTTTCATTGGGATTTTTTAATGATTACGAAAAAAAATGCTATTTTACTTCTAAAGATGAAATAAAAAATAAACTAAAGTGCGATGAGTGATATTTACTTTCAGCCAGTGCTCCGCTGTTCAATGATGCGCAAACACAATACATAGATATTACATGAACTAACAAGTAGAGACTTGTAAAACATAGGTAGTAATATGCAGCAAGAAATCTCAAAATTTCTCTCTTAGGTGAGTCTTCAAGATGCAACTTTTCGTATAATAAATAATAGAAAGAAAACTTGACATAGTAAATTATTATTGAAATGCGAGATTTCCCGGGAAAATAAAATTTCCCGGGATTTTTCTCGTAGGGAATAAACGGCGAGAATCCCGGGAAAGAAACCCTAATTCCTATACGCTTGCAGATGCAGGATTATGGAATTCTCAAGAATTTTCTAATTAACAGAAAACATTTGTTTTAATTAAAGTTAATTGCTGGAAAAGTGTGTAAGATGTGTTCAGTGTTTTTATGTATTTGCATCATGCATGACACCAAACAAAAAAATCTGTCTTTGTCCTTTATAGTGATGAATGCACAAATCAAAACCAAAATTAGTTTTGAGTAATGCTTTGCTAAAGTTGTCTTTAGAAAAAAATGTTACTGTTATCCAATATTCACAGAGAAAACTAAAAAAACAGAGAAATTAACCTGTCATCTGACTACAGCTCTGTTTATAAAAAACCAAGACCAAACCAACCATACCAGGTTCATTATCTCAACCACCAATTCTTTGCAGATTATACCAAACTAAAGTTTTTTCTTCTGTTAGGTTAGGAAATTCCATAGGTGGCCCTGCTGTCACAGATGATGTTTCATCTAAATACACTCCCAGAAGAGAATTATACTATAAAATGTGTGTTTATAATTGGGCTGTGCTTCCAAGAAGGATCAGGAAAGATGCATCAGCTCATGTATGCCATATGTATGCTTCTCATTTGAAAATGAGTGATAACTTCAAGCATTTATGAGAAATTAAGACATTTCCTCACAAGTGCCACTCAAACTGACAACTTGGCACATTAATATCAAAACAATAACTGTTGTCGCTTCTCTTTTATGTTTTAACTGCTCTGTATGGGTGCTGTGCTCTATAGTCATTTTATCTGGAAATATAATTAATTATTTTAAGCATTTACAGCCAAGCTAAGTTATTATCTTGGTTGTGACTATAAAAGCATGTATGATACATACCCTACTGAGCAGATATGCTGTGAATGGAAAATATGTAAGTGATAGTTTACCTATTTTACTAGTCATCAATGTTACTTTATTCTGCCTTCTTGACATTGATTTCTTTATTACTCTCAAAAATTGTTACATTTCATGTGTAGTTAGTTATGATATAGTTTTTTTTATGCATCCTGTAAAATTTTGGGTTTGGCACGTAAAGATTTCAGCAGCACAATAATGAAATATCACATATAATAGCAGTTCCCAAACTATTAAGATCTATAGATCCTTTCAAAAATGAAATAATGTTTGCAGATCCTATATGAAAATTAAATTTTCTCAAAAGACAATTCAAAGTTTTGTGTGTAAAACACAATTTATTCTTATTTTTATTCTATTCTATCAATATATTTTTAGGAAAATGCATATTACTAGATGCCTAATGATGCTTTGCAGATTTTCTGGAACTGATCTGCAGATGCATTTTGAGCAGCACTGACTTAATGATTTCATTCAATTCTTGTGATATTTTGTTTGTATCACTTCTATACAGATTTTTACCCACACAAACATATACATTATTTGGAAATGCAAAATCAGACTTCACTATATTGTACTTACAAATGAATAGTTTTTGGATATTTATTTGGAAAACTTGGAAATAGAAATATCAAACATAAGATGAAATGCTACTAAATAATCTAAATTAGTTTCTTTAAATATAAGATAACAAAGGTATTATTCAGTTCTTCATTAAAGTTTAGAATATCAAAATTAGACATCCAAATAAAATTATAGAGTTTATTCAGAAAAGAATCTTTCAATGTATAATGTTTTTTCTATTTGAATAAATTTTTATTTGCAGATTGCCAAAATTGTATCAACATCAACAATATAGTTTTGAAATTAATGTATCTATTGTCTAAATTATCTTTTATTGCTTTGACTTTTGATATTTTTGTATTAAATAAAGTAGTTTTATAAGAAACAGCAGTCATTTGAATACAATTTGTCAACTTGACTGAATATTGCAAGGAAACAAATTGTTTAAGCCATGTTTAAGTCAGCAAATTTCATATATCATGTATAAAAACCATATAAAATAAAATTCAAGATTTATTTGTTAAATAGGAACTAAACTTTTTCACAGCTGTTTGTGAAATGTTTAAAAATAGAATAATAATCTCATTACAGTAAACTAAGTTATGTGATAAACTTCTTATCAGACTGAATTATTTATTACAAATGACATAAATGGTGTTTCTGAAAATAGCAGTGGCGTAGCGTAGGGGGATGGCAGGGGTAGCCCGTCCCGGGCGGCAAAATTTCACAATAAATAAATATCTTATAAAAATTTGAACCAATTGAAATGAGCACAGAATTTTTCATTACTTATTCTGTGACGAAATTGAATTTTAGTCTTTTAAATTGAGATACCTAAATAAGGGGGCAGTGAAATTTTCCTCCACCCCAAGCAGCTGACATCCATGCTATGCCACTGGAAAATAGTGTTCATTGTTTGTAAGATTAAAATATTAATGCAAAGAAACTGGTTATAAACATTGATTTATGTTAATCATTTAAAATATTTCAAATACCTGTAAAATTTGAATATAGGTGTAGATAACAAGAAACAAACTGGAGCAGCAGTGGCAGTTACTTCTCTTAGGTAAACATCATACTAAAAACAATTAAAACAAATAAATAATTAATACTTTTACGACATGATATTTAATTATTTCTTTAATATTGATCAAATGTTTCATAGAAATTCATTTGTTCATATTAGTTTACTATTAACTGTTTTTATATAAGGTAACAAATTCAAGGATTGTACCAAAAGTAATGGTTAACATTCTATTATGAATAAGCTAGTGAAAATAAAACGATGCATAATATATATCTAGTAATAACAATTGCCATCTTATTCTGCAATAGCTGCTCCCATACTACCGAGATCTAGGACTGATTCGAAAATCAACAAATGTTTGCTGACTCTCTACGTATACTTCATATATATGGACTCTACGTACTATGTCCATATATATGAATTAGAATCAAAAATAAATCTCTAACTTTTGACACTAAGTTTTATTACATATCACATCAAAATTCTTACATCGCATCACTTACAAGATAAGCCACTACTACAGCTACCAGGGCTGTGGAGTCAGAGTTGGAGTCGTGGAGTTTTGGTGTTTTAGCTGGAGTCGAAGTCGGAGTCGTAAAAAAATCCACCGACTCCGACTCATTTTTTACTTCCCAACTTGTTATGTATATAAAACGGAAAAGTATTGGAATAGTGTCAAATTTGACCCTCCGAATTTTTTTGCAGATCTACATGTTTGGAGACCTCCCGAACCCCTCAAAAAAGTCAATAAAAGTTGGAAAAATTCACATGCACGTGTGTGTTGGCATCTAATTTGTTTAATTTCTTTATTTTCTGTTCTGGGATATTAAACAATATCTCAGAATGGGTAAAGTTTAAGAAACGAAATGTGGCACTGTAGCTTGCATATAAAGGGGCATTAATACTATTAAAAAATAAATAAAACTCATCTCTACCCTCAAAGTAAGCTTTTTTGTCATTTTTGTCATCTTAACAGTAAAACACGTTAAGATGTTCTCGCCTAAGATGTTAGAATGTATATGGGGACATGATTTAGTTCAACCACTTTGATGCTTAATAACTAACTCCTGTTTTGTTTTCTGAAATCGTGTTTTAGTATTTTTGAATACTAAAACATGGTTTCAGAAAACAAATCAACTATGCGTTATTGGTTATAGAAATGGCAAATTCCATCAAGAAAAGAAAAATAATGTATACAAATGGATACTACATACATCGCAAGGATACAAGTTGACTGATGAGGGGCTAAGTGCCCGAAACGTGTAGAAGTACCCATACAAACTGAATAAAGATGGAAAAAAGCCAAGTGTTTAATTAATAACACAATCTTGTGTTCAACAGTCAAAAACTAACTCCTGTGTTAACCATCTGACTCTGATTTAAAAACCACAGAAATTATTAGGCTTCAAACAGGGTAAACAAAATCATGCCTCCCACACACAGTCTAACATCTACACATATAGAAAAAACCTCGAATCTTTTGCATATCTCGAAATTTCGAGGTGTTCCGAGTCCAAAAATGTAAAAATTTGGGAGGGGTCATTTTTTGACCGAGCGATACACTTTCCCTCTGTTATATATAACAGCTGGAAAAGTAAAAATTATCGAATATATATTTATATATTACTTAGAGGAGTCTTATAGCTTTGGAATAAAAAGTTTCTACATTCTATCTTTATTAGAACTCTGTTTATTGAATCTTTTATTCTGAGGTGACGTGATGACATGAGAATTTCCGGGTCTCTTTCGGTTACATGTCCGCCCTTGGTTGGAGTCAGATGGTAAGGAAGAGTCTGAGTTGGAGTCAGCAGATTTTTACGTGACTCCACAGCCCTGACAGCTATACATGTTTTCATGCATCAATACCTCTGGTCAAAGCTATTTTTTTTTTTTGTGTTGTGTTTATGGACTCCCATCACTAGTTTCCACCCCTGCTATTGATTGGAACCTACAATCCTTCAATTTCTTTTTTATTTTAAAATACAAATAAAGGCAAGACCAAAGGATAAAGTTGTTGAGAAAACATTGTTAAGCTCTTCTTAGTCAGTTATCCATTAACCAGGAAAGACAGACAGAAGCTAAATTTCTAGAGAAAAATACAATTTTTGTGGACTTTAGAACTAATCCACAGACCCTAATTTGGGAAATGCCACTCTACAATAAGAATGACATCACTTCCATCGGCCACATCGTAACAATACAATATGAACAAATGGAAAGCAATATGATATCATTTTAAAAGTGTGTCTGCAGTATTGGACAATAAGTNTGCCATTATCCATTGGTAAAAGTTAAAGTACGTAATGTATGAATCAACATTATAAATCGGGGTAAAAGTTTATCCTTAGTTCTACTTAATGGCACTGAAAATTAACACTGACACATTCATACTGTTCAACAGTAACTGAGGAACACAAGAATAACTCTGGTAAACATTAGTTCTAAATCGAGGCAACGGGATTTGTGTCAGTTTCGGGTCGTAGTTAAAATCCTTATTATTTGTTTATCGTACTGTCGACGTTGTTGAATTCATTACACGTTAAATAAAATGGAATGTAGTGAGTGTGGTTTAAAATATACCGGTACAATACTTGTGTTTTCTATTCACGATTATAAATTATAAATGCTTTGTTCGAAATTATTAGTTAAAAGTGACAATAAAATAAATTTATGAATAGACACCTTGATTAAAAATGAATTATTCTATAAAAAATTAATATTATAAGATTATGAAATGGAATTATGAATAAAATAAAACGTAGGGGGACTTAAAATTTATGATCTATGACAGTTATAATATATAGAACTATTAGGTTTAATGTTCGTTTCCAAACCGCTCGTTATAATGTACTTGATGATATTTTCTGCTTTGTGTTTCTGTTTCCATTCCTTAAAATCACTAAATGAATTAAATACCTGATTATAATTAAATATAGTAATATCGTGTAGCTCTCTGAAGCGTAACAATATTATTGTATATTGTTACACTTCAGAGAGCTACACGATATTACTATATTTAATTATAATCAGGTATTTAATTCATTTAGTGATTTTAAGGAATGGAAACAGAAACACAAAGCAGAAAATATCATCAAGTACATTATAACGAGCGGTTTGGAAACGAACATTAAACCTAATAGTTCTATATATTATAACTGTCATAGATCATAAATTTTAAGTCCCCCTACGTTTTATTTTATTCATAATTCCATTTCATAATCTTATAATATTAATTTTTTATAGAATAATTCATTTTTAATCAAGGTGTCTATTCATAAATTTATTTTATTGTCACTTTTAACTAATAATTTCGAACAAAGCATTTATAATTTATAATCGTGAATAGAAAACACAAGTATTGTACCGGTATATTTTAAACCACACTCACTACATTCCATTTTATTTAACGTGTAATGAATTCAACAACGTCGACAGTACGATAAACAAATAATAAGGATTTTAACTACGACCCGAAACTGACACAAATCCCGTTGCCTCGATTTAGAACTAATGTTTACCAGAGTTATTCTTGTGTTCCTCAGTTACTGTTGAACAGTATGAATGTGTCAGTGTTAATTTTCAGTGCCATTAAGTAGAACTAAGGATAAACTTTTACCCCGATTTATAATGTTGATTCATACATTACGTACTTTAACTTTTACCAATGGATAATGGCATTCGATTCCGCTCTGCCTGTCGATCCTGATTAAAATATCGATTGAATCTTGACTTTTCGTAAAAATATTTAATAACAAACCCATAAGCCTACTCACGTGTACTGCAAGGTCTTAGATTAAGACCTTGCGTGTACTGTACACTACTCGTTTCCTGGCACCAGAAGTGTTGCCACCATACTCAACTTTTTTTTTCCTCGGACCACACATGTGATAGCTATTACACGCGGCCTTCAATATAACGATTATAATAAAAAACGTACGTAATTTCTCACTCATCCTAGAAAATTAATGTTGATATTGCGAACATTTTTTCACAATTTCATTTAAATCAAGCTGGTGCTGCTCGTAAAACGGCATCCGGGTGTGAATCGGTAAGCCGGTTTCTATATATGTTCTTTGCATATTTCATTTTTGAGTATGACGTTTCGCATAGATACGTTGATGCAACAACGTAAGTAAAATTTGAGCACATTTTTTTACAGTTTTATATTGTTCGGGCACTATTTTCCAGAAGTCGACGTAATTATTTTCCGCCCTCTTTTGTTTAAAAATAGCTTCCGGGTGTATTGTTCTTCGTTTCAATAAATTCGTCAAATAGTTCTGCGTAATTACATGCCAATATATCAGCCAGTTCGATATTATTGCCGGTTCCGAGAGCCAGGGATTTTCAATGAACAACAGCATATTTTTTATTTTTCTTAGATGGTGAAATCTATTGATGTGTTTAAATTCCTCGGATAGCGCAATTAAATAATTTGAAAAAAATTATAGTTTTCTGGAGAAACGTTAATACCGTTTTGTTTAGTTTTTGTCACGGTTGGAAAATTTCGCAGTATTTTGTTTTGTATTTCTTGGTAATAAATGTTTAATTTTTCTTCCTTCGAAGGAAAATATTTTATTCGCCATCTGTGAAATTATTTTATTTTTACCCTGTAAACCAGCATTGATACTGTTAAGCTGTTCTGTAATGTCGCGCAGAAACGCTACAATACACCACCATTCATCATTTTGCAGTTTACTGTAAATTTTATTATTTTGCCGTAAAAACAGCATTATTTCTTTTCGCAAAGAAAAAAAACCTTTCCAGAACTTTTCTTCCGCTAAGCCAACGTACCGAGGTATGTAAAAGAACATCACCGTATTGACTACCTACTTCCACTAAAAGACTTTTAAATTTTCTGTGGTTCAGTTCTCGTGCTCTGATATAATTGCTAAACCGTGTTTGTTTTGCACTACAAAATAGTCAAATTTCCATTCGTCTCGAACAATCCATTTTCGTCAGACATTTTTCGTTTGTATTTGGAAGACACTCCCGACATGGTTGATAATATTTATAAATTACAGTTTCTCAAATAAAATGGTCGCTAATTCAGCGTGATTTATTGTTTACTCAATTACAACTCTTAAGGTACTTTAACAAATACAGATAGAGTCACACGACACGAGCAAAGCAAACAAATTATGACCTGTTATGACTTATAATATCGCGTATAGGCGCTACGGGTCTCAGTAAATTACTAAGTCTAGCTTTGCTTTTACCGTCCCTCGCGGATCGCCGCCCGATGGTCAGCACACGTTCACAATGCTCGAACAACCCGCAGCCCGCTGAGCTTTTTTGCGAGTGGTACGGGCCACTCGCAAAAAAGCTCAGCGGGCTGCGGGTTGAGTATGGTGGGTTTAGAATCTACATAGGACGCGGTCGCTCTGCGTCTCCGCTACTACGGGAGTGCGCCGCTGTTCGTAGGCATTTAGGAGCGACGGTGAAAGAAAGATGGCGGCACCATACCATAGATAGTATCGCGACGGAGTGATCTACGATTTTAAAATATGCGTTTTTTTGAGACAAAAGAAAGGTTCCAATTGTAACATTTTACCATAAAATGATTATCTTGCCGACAAAGTAGCTACGAAAAAACTAGAATGCCGGCTATCATTTGAAGACACGTCGCGTGCACTAACTCGCGCTTTCACAACTTGTAAATTTTCATTCATAAAACCACATAATGGAGCCGAAACGAAACTGTCTGAGCCACGGAGGACGTCGTGTTACTTTCCACCGTAAACTACTACGAGCGGCCGTTTTTGTCGTCAGAAGGCGCGCACTCCGTTCCGCAAGAACTTTTAAACAGATGCCACTCGCGCGGAGGAATAAAAGAACTCTCCCTATGTAGTAGCTTATCGTCCCCACCTTACATATAATTTGCTGTTATATAACTTTACTTTTTTAAAATTAAAGGGATTAGTTATATAAAACATATATGTTTTAGATAATAAATTTTAGTTATAAGCATTTAATCTGAATTTTAAGGTAATTTCATTATGTTCTCTTTTTAAGAAGTTGATTTCGAAAAATAAATCGTCGTTGTCAAATCTTAACTCGTGAATTTTTGTTATAGAATGTTACGAATCGTTTAACGTTTTGCGGATATGTAAATTACGTTTCTCGGGAGTACTAATGCGAAACAAACTTTGATACTTTAATGTTGTCTGTTGTTTTTTTTGAACTTTTTGTTTTTTCATTTTCGAGTGCAAATGGACAATACAGCAATTGCCAAAATTGTTTTCCGAGGTAAAGGTGTCTTACGTGCCGAACTTTGGTACTTACTCGTTCTGGTAGCTACTTGTTCGTACTTACGTACGAACCGAGGTGTTTTGTTCGCGAAGTCACAAGATGAATTTGTATTTTGCTAATTACGAAGCATTAAAATGGAGAAGCGACATTACATCGGGCCGTGAAAACGGATTTGCTTAGTCAAAACTGATTCGAAGGTTTCCGTATTTCTTTTTTGACTGCTCTTCGGTTTATTTGACTGCTCTTCGGTGTCTAGAATTAATTTCTGTAGAATTTTGTCAAATGCGGTCGGGAATAAATCACTGTACACAGTCGATTGGAACGATTACGTAAGCGAGGTAAGTGCCAATTCGTTAATTTCTCGATATGTAGTAAAAATAGGCGGTTCGAACAAATTTGGGTTAATGTCCAGGGTCGTAGACCATCATGGCGGCTCTTCCTGTTTTAGCCTCGAAACCGGACCGCTTTGGAGACGACGTGTCACGTGACGACGCGAGCGCCTGCGCGACGTGTGACGTGACGACGCAAGCGCCTGCGCGTCACGCCAGAGTCGGCGAATGAGTGCGGACAAAGGTGAGTAAAAAAAAAATGTTATTTTGTTATTTTGGTTAAAGTCCAGATACGTACACTCATGGCGGCTGATCGCCGATTCCAGCAAAGACAAGAAAGCACACAGTGGGGACGCACGTTCTAACCTAACCTAACCTATTCTAATAAATTATCATAATTATTACCAATTATATTATTAGAATAGGTTAGGTTAGGTTAGAACGTGCGTCCCCACTGTTTGCTTTCTTGTCTTTGCTGGAATCGGCGATCAGCCGCCATGAGTGTACGTATCTGGACTTTAACCAAAATAACAAAATAACATGTTTTTTTTTTTTACTCACCTTTGTCCGCACTCATTCGCCGACTCTGGCGTGACGCGCAGGCGCTTGCGTCGTCACGTCACACGTCGCGCAGGCGCTCGCGTCGTCTCCAAAGCGGTCCGGTTTCGAGGCTAAAACAGGAAGAGCCGCCATGATGGTCTACGACCCTGGACATTAACCCAAATTTGTACAGTTGGACGACTCTCTTTACACGCAGAAAACGTGTTGGATGTGTTTTTCTACACTGATCTACAGCATTGGGTATTCGGTGGGATTTGGCGTCGATTGCACTCGAAGACCGAAACGTTTACTGCGATGAAAAACGAAATCCGCTGGTTTATGCCTCCCGCGTAGTGAAAAAAACCTTGTTGTTTGTTCATTTTCTCATGTTTTTTAAAAATATAAATAACACAATAAAATAGCGGTAAAAATCGACTAGTTAACAGAAAAGTGCCATTCCATTTCAAAGAAAAGTTTGAAAACGCGAAGTTATTTTCAAAGCAGACTAGTCACGTGTTTGGATAATTTGCATACGTCAACGCTTTATCCACGCGGACGGCGGACGTACTGGTTGATTGCGTGATTGAAGCTACGTCGAACAAACCCGAAAAGCGAATGTCTGGTCTCGCGATCGAAGTTTAATGCCGGCTCTCCACGGTCACGCGATGATTCATCTTTTTGGATGTCTGAGGTAACCGTAAAAGCCGATATATCTTTTACTGAAAGTAGGTTAAGTGCCAGTGCGGAGAAAAAGCCGATTATATCGGCTTTTACTAAGCCCCGTAATTAAAGTTATTCATTGTTTTCTTTAAATGCAATTTTTGCATTATCTGTTAGTGAAGTATTTACTTTTTTTTTTGTATTCGTGTGTTAGTGCATAAAAGTTATCGTATATATTTTAAATTTTAGCTTAATATTTTTAATTCTTCCTTTTTGACGAAATATCAACCGTGCTGCCACTTTTCCTACGTTTGTTATTACATTTGCATCAATTCTTTCATCTTTCGCCAGATTAATTATAAGTTTTAATTTATTAATTTAATTAAATAGTAATTATTAATGTAAATTAGGTTTTTTAATAAATATTTTAATATTTATAAATAAATTTTGTAAAATAATTATTTTGGAGCATTATCTAAACTTTATATATAAATGAGGATGTTCGTTCGTTCGCTGTACCTTCCTAGACCGTTCGATCAATTTCTACGAAACTCGTCAGTTACGTTTAGATACTTCTAATTTAGATAATGTCTTACATCCCGCCCCAAAATATTATCGAATTCCTGTAAATCCATTCATTTTTATCTTTTTTGCTGATTTATTCGTAGCGCCATCTATTGACAAAAATTAACAAAATCATAAACTAAATATAATTCTGACAAAAAATGATAATTTTAAAAATATATGTATATTGCATTCGCTTTATTACTGCTACGAGTTGCGTACAATATTTGCCACTCGGATTTTTATTTCTGAACGATAATTTCTTAATAAGTGTCCGCCGGTAGTGGAATGGGTAAAATTGCCGAACGTCGGTAGTTAGTTTGTCCCGGGTTTGGGCACGGCCGAAGGACTGCCCATGTACAGTTTTCTGGGTTTTCTTTATGTTAGTAATTACCGCCTAAATAGAGGCCGCCTTTATGTAAAAGTCTTCGCGAGATGCATTCCCCTCGACAGATCGCTGAAGTGTCGCGTTGCCATAACCGAATAAACCAAACTAATTCTAACGGGCGATTGATTATTTATTGTGATGATCTCGCAATAAATAATCCGGGCTACGATTTTTCGTCATAATGTTCTCAATTTTTTTAGTGGTGTCTTGGCCCTGCGCATCGTACTTTTCCTGTTAGATGACCCACACCACTCTATCGCGATCTGTGTTGGGGAGGAACTTAATGTAACGTGACCTCGGTCTAATCCGGAAGGTCGTATATAGTTAATCTGGACTTTCTGCTATAAGCTTTTCATATTTGGTCTCGATTTTCATCTATCTAACTTTTTTCTCGAGATTAAGGATCGACAGACGGGAATTTTAAGTCTACAGTTTTTCAAATTGCGGCCAAAAAATTTTTCTATAAACGCAATAGTTACGAGAACACACTTCCCACGTAGTTGATACAATCTGTTGCAAAAATATAAACAATTTATTATCATATAAAAGCAATTATTCTTGCATTTTTACAAGATTTTTTTTTATTTAAACGAGTCATACGAAGTCTTCCAGACATTAAGGTTAGCAACTTCGATCACATGTGGGCCATCACATCCATCCAACACGGATCAGTTTTCAAATATTAATAGTAGACCGGTATTAATTAGTAGTGGTCGACTATCTTCTTTTCCGGTAGGAGGTCAACGACTACTTTGCTCGAATTACTTCGACCCCCTTCTGCAACAATCGCTTCTTTTTATCGGACTAGCGGTATAGTGGCATTCGAATAGGTAAATTACATAATATGAGGTTACCGGCTTGCACAAAATATGATTTAAATGGTTTTCGAGGGTGCTGAGTCTAAATATTTGATCCGTTTTTTTGCGAAATTTGATTGGTTGGCAGATTACCGTTTGATATTCGGCTGCGAATGATTGTTTCTTAGAGTTAACATTTACAATTGGTGTATACTTGACCAATGAAATTGTGTCATTTCTTACCATCCGAGTATCGTGATAAACGTTACATTGGTAGGTTAGAGTAAACTCTTTATATGGTTTTTGTTTAATGTTTGTGATATTATATGTACTTGATTTATATTTACAAAGGTTATCTTATGTAAGAGTGTATCACGCCGAGTGACCAATCTAACTCATTTTAAAAATTCTTTACTCTTCTATTGTAAACAGTTTAAAGAATTTTTAAAATGTGTTAGAGTGGGCACTGGATGTAATAAACTCTTACGTAATATAACCTTTGCAAATGTAAATGAAATTCTATAATATAATATAATAGAAGGGTTAGAAGTACGAAATAATCTAATAATCTTAATCTTTGCTGTTTTATTTTTTGCCCGAGCAATGCCGGGCTCATCTGCTAGTTAATTTTATATTTTCATTTTATGAAACGAAGTTTAGAAATTATAAACGTTGTCCTTTTAAATGGCCATTTAAACCGGGTGGTGACGTAGTGGGGGGTGATTCACGCGACTCTCGCGTCATTATCTGTTTGATTTTTGTTGTTATATAAAAATAATCTCGATTTACGTATATTTA